ATAGGTATACAAATACTAGTCATATTTTTATTTTAAAGGGTTTATTATAGCATTATATAACAAATACAACAATTATAATAGGTAACGACAGTGAATTTTTTTTTTACCATTTTCTATTGATAATATTCTTTGGCTGATTTGCGAAGATTATCTTGTATGAGCGTAAAGCTTAGCACTTGAAAATTATTTTGAAAAGTAGTACTTACCAATAGACACTATATATCTTTAGCCATAAGTTTGCAGTTCTACTATATCATTCACATCTCATAGTATATGTTGAAGTAGATAACCAATTATTTCAGACAATTTAATTTTATTACTTTTATATAGACAAGCCTGATAAAGCTCAAAATAAATTATTATATGTAGAAATGGTTAATTTGATTGATACTTTCAATTTGAAAAAAAGAAAACGGCTTTAGATCAATGAGAGAATAGACATCTCTTATGTGTGTGCGTGTGTATTTAAAACAATATATGAATGCTGGTTATAAGTAAAGATCCAAGAAATTAGTTAAAATATAGCAAAGATGTATTTAATGAATACAGAGTACAAAATTAATTTCTATTATTATAAAATCAATATATAAAATACATTTTTATTGACATCAACTATGTAATTGAATTAGAAGTAAAGTAGTTTAGCTTGGATATCAAAGAACTTGATAATTTATTCACAAAAATACAATCAATAATTTGAAAATTTGATCTACTCTAAATATAAATATATTAGCTGGGATGGTCCAAATCCCAGTGTATGCTGTCGCAGGTCAGCACCATATTTTACTAGCTATTACATTTCTTCTTCGTGCCTTGTCCAGATCCAGAGGAGAGGGGGTCCAACGCCAGTCCATTCCATTGATTCTTTTTTGATTTTTGATTTTCTTGTTTTTTGATTTGATTTTTTAATTTTTTTTTTGATTTTTTTTTGATCTTTTTTTTGCTTTTTTTTATATTTTTTATGATTTGCTTTTCTTCATTTGATTTGATAAAATATTCTATTCTATTCTATTGTATAGTATAATCTGTTTTGATATTTTTTAATAGACATGATGTGTCTTGATATGTCTTGGTCTGACTTGACTAGACTTGATTTGATATGTCTTGTCTTCAATTGATTTGGGTTGATTTGTATTGACTTGATATGATTTGTATAATGTTCATGGTCATAGATACTGAGAGTGACTTTGTTAAAGGACGTCTTTAGATTTGATTTGAGAGAGAGTTTGAGAAAAGTAATCTTCAGATTTGGTGAAGAGAGACTTTGGAAAAAAACCACTTTCTGATATGAACCCAGAGAGGCTTTATTAGAAAACGCCTTGTTTTTTTAGCCGAGATGGATTTTGTAAAATGACATCTTCCGCTTTGATTAGAAAGATCTTGTAAAAGGACACCTGAAGATATGTGACAGGAGAGCCTTTGTAAAGAGTGCCATATAACTTGAGTGGAGAGTTACTTGGTAAAAGAACACCTTCCGATTTAAGCTGAGAAAGGTTTTGTGAAAGAGAACCTTCCGATTTGAGTTGAGAATTGGTAAAGACATCAACAGATTTGAGCCAAAAGAGACATTGCTAAAGGACACATTCACGTTTGAATGAAGAGAGAGAAAGGGACTTTGTGAAAGAGAACCTTCCGATTTGAGTTGAGAGAGAGAGTTTGTAAAAAAACGCCTTTAGATTTGAGCGGAGGGATGCTTGGTAAAGGGACACCTTCCGATTTGGATTGAGAGAATTTGTTAACGACCAACTTCTGATTTGAGCTAAGAGAGAGTTTGTGAACGGACACCTTCAGTCTTGAATGAAGAGAGACTTTGGAAAAAGCGCCTTCAGATTTTAGTAGAGAGAGTTTGTGAACAGACATCTTTAGTCTTAAGTTAAGAGAGACTTTGGAAAGAGCGCCTTTTGACTTGAGTGGAGAGATATTTTGGAAAGAACATATTCCGATTTAAGTCGAGAGAGACTTTTTAAAAGGACACCTTCAGTCTTGACCCAAGAGAAACTTTGTAAAGGACACATTGTGATTTGAGACAACAAAGATTTTGGAAAGCAGTACCCTCCAGTTTGAGTGGATACAGAGACGCTTCGTTAACGAATGCATTGTTTTTGTTTTTGTTTTTGACATTGTTTTTGCTTTGTGTTTTTGATATTATTATTTTTTCTTCTTTTTTCTTTTTTTTTTTTTTTACAAAATATTGGAATGGATATTGGACTGGACAATGGACCCCCCCTTCCTGGACTTGAACAAGGCACTGGACCCTATACTATACAACTGCGAAATATATATATTATTAGTTCTAAGATATTTGATACTCTAATTAACAGCGTAATATTTTTGTGACGCCCAACTGAAATGGGTTCAGTTTTGCTTTGTGTTGTTTTTCAGAGAAAACACCAAGAGCAGGATTCCTTTGAATAGCTATATTGTTGCTATTGTGTTTCCGTAGTTCCTTCCGAAATATTTTCTTGCTTGCTGATGGAGGCCTGTAATAGATATACTGGTGCCACAGAATTGTCTGCAAAATCCATTCGGGGATCGCCAAAACCTTTTTTTTTATGTATGAAACTACGGCCTTTGACCAACGTATAAAATTCATATTTGAAGAAATTGTTGACCCAGTGGAGATTCTTGAAGTGCTTTTGGCCGACCCATGAAATGGTAAGCTCCTGGGTTGTATAATTTGATGGTGCATTTTTGATAGCTTGATACAATTGACTTGATCACTTGAATACTTGAGGCGGGATATAGTGCTACACACAATTTTCTCGCGGGAAAGATTTACTACTGGATTGAATTTCCATGATTTTTTGTAGGAACGGGGGTATATAATTTTCTTAATGTGAGTCAGAGACCGGCCACCAAGTAGCTTGAACACCGTGCAAAATGCTTGATTTTCTTGGTTGATTGTATTGGTGAGCATCAGGAGACTTTGCATATTTTTGTTACTGTCCTCTCATTCCACCTTTGATAATTTCTTTTTTTGTCCGTTTTTTTTTTGTTCTTTTTTTTTTGTTCTTTTTTTTTTGTTCTTTTTTTTTTGTTCTTTTTTTTTTTGTTCTTTTTTTTTTGTTCTTTTTTTTTTGTTCTTTTTTTTTGTTCTTTTTTTTTCTAATTTTTTCCTTTACATATATATATATATATATAAACATCCGCTTTTTCTTTTTGCGTTTTAGAACCAGTCTGATATTGGCTTCCTGCTTGACTGATTCTGTCCTCATCAAACTTTGACTTGATAGTTTGCTAAAATTAGACTCATGATATGACCTTTGATTGAATCTTGCTTTTCATTGGCAATCACTTGCGCACGTATTTGGACCCTAGATGTAGGTTGTTTGTCCTTGGTATACAGACATTGCCGGTATTGCTTGCTTTAGCCTACTCTTCTTGACAGCTCCGAACATGACCCGGTTGACCCAATTAATCGAATCTTGATTCCATATATCGGCCAAATTTGAGGACAACTCATAATATGCTGGCTTGTGTTCAACCCATGGCTGTATTAAATACTCATAGCTGTCGATGAAATTCTCGATATCCTATCCACTTGGTAGTAGATACTCTACTTGCATAGTGTCTACTATATATTGTAACCTTAATAGTATTGAAAAAAGCCAAGCGCTTGTTTCCTGAAGCCCATCTTGAGTAGTAGTCGTATCAAATAAACGTGGTTTCTTAGATTTGTGATTGGTATGTGCTGTAAATTTGAGATACTTTTCTGCATCATACGCTTGGCTTATTGATTGTATCTCTTGTTGATAATCGGCTTGAAAGTATCATAGCAGATATTATAAACCCGCCAGCTGTATATTTTTAAGGACTGCCTATTGTTTACTGTGGAATCCATTTGAAAGTCAATAAGATTACCCCTAGACTTGAGTTAATACATCTATCGACTCTGCAGAATCCACTAGACGGAACCAGAGACACGCAAAAACTTGAATAATGTTTTTCTAGAACGCCAAGGGCCACCAAGGTTGACCAAATACGATTTATAGCTGCCACAAAACCAAACGTCCACGTTTTATAACTTAAAATTTTGGTATCCATTTTCAAGATCAAAAACCAGGTTCATGGTAGCCCAAACGAATTACATAGCACAATCCATAAACAGAGATATTGAAGCAATACGACACTCATGCGCTTGAGAACAAAAGCAGGAAACCCAGACAGGGAAATCTATTGACCCAATAGTCAAACGCCTGCGGACAGCAATCAAAAACAAAGAGAGACAAAACCCAGATACATGCAACAGTCAAATGCCTGTGGGCAGCAACCAGACCAATAGATGGATAAAGTCCAGATATATGGCAGTCAAACGCATGAGAACAATAATTAAAAACACGGGAAAAAACCCCAAGTTTCACAGCAGTCAAAGGCCTGCAAGCAGCACCAGTAACACATGCAAACAAAGTCCAGATACATGGATGACGATTGCCTGAAAATAACATCCAGAAACACAGACAGCCAAAGTCTAGACAACGAAACAAAAGGGACCAATAACGTCCAAACAAAATAGGGAAAACCAAGAACCCAAGAACTCGATCATAGCCTTGGGGGGTGGAACTCAAAAAGATTTCTACCAACCCGAAACTATTTTTTTTAAAAATAAATAAATAATTAAATAAATAAATTAGAGTCAATAAATTTTCAATATGTATAAATAATAAATATAGTAGTAAAAATATAAGTCAAAATTTTACCTTTTTGAGAACCAGAGGGTCGCTACCACCACTTTCGAATATATGCAGACGGTGATTAACAGCAAGTGCAACGAGCCACAACTCAGCCTACACCTGCTCTGCATACATCGGTGTAGACAACTCCACGTCTACCTTCCCTCTACTATCCAAAGACTTTGGACTCGGAACCAAACAAGCAAGCGGACCATGGCGTCAAACTTAAAAAAGAATGATTAGCCAGACCTTTGAATATGCGAGCAATTGGAACCGAACGTAAAGGGGAATCTGACTACCGCCTGCTGACCCCGGCATCTCATGCTTCATCGTCAAAGTCACTCTCTTCTAACTCAGCAAGGAGATCTGCCAACACCGAGTCTTGCAGGGTGACGCCCTCGTCGTCATCTTCGTGTCCCTCATCCGAGTCCTCTTCGTCATCATCATCTTCTTCTTCTTCACCTAGGACTTCTTCTGGACTCTCGGGAGCGGTAGTCAGCCACGCCACAACACCAGGAATTGTGGTAGGCTCTGGTGCCTTATCCTCTGGCAACGACACGCCAGATGGACCGTGAAGGCCAGCACCAGAATCAGATCTGGGGAGAGAAGGGGAAGATGGTAGTCTTGGACCCTCCTCTGGATTCCCCACGAGATCTTCTGCAACTTGCTGTGGGACACAAGTCGCGCCTTTGTTGGTAATGTTTACCTGTTCAAGTGGGAATGGGCAAGCCACACCAGAAGCAGGAAACATGGTTGCAGCACCAGAAACCGGAAACATGGTAGCCGCACCAGAGACAGAAAGTCCGGTAGCAGCACCAGAAGCAGGAAACATGGTGACAGCACCAGAAGCAGGGAACATAATTGCTGCCATGATGGGAGAGGCTTTTGAGACTAAGCACTCATCCCAGTGCATGAGGCAATCGTCTCGGTAGTGATCAAGGTTGCCCTCGATCCCTGGAACTACCTCGACGGCGAGGTCCATGAGACTGTCGCCATACAAGTCTTCTGGAACCATCGCTAGTTCGTTGTTCACGTTGTACCAGCAGGCTGTGGAGACGCCTGCAACAACGACACCGGCATACTCGACATCAAGCATTTCGGAAGACTCTGGCTCAGAGATTATACTCATTGCACAGTCGAGATCTTCCTCATCTGCATCCGTCAGCATCTGCTCCAAAGGAGTGTCAACAGTGGACAGGAAGTCCATGCGTTCTTGTTGCCCGAAGGCAAAGAGACCTCCGACCAACGCAGGACACTGAGGCACCTCCTCAGACCAGACAGTGTTTCCACCGTACCAGCAGTCTTCCATGGCCGAAGCCACCTCTGCTCCAACAGCACCCACTTGTTGGGCAGTACACATGGAGAGATCCCGGCCAGCCCAAAGGTCTTCACTGGTATCCTCAATTGACATAGAGCCAAAGAGAGATACCAGATCGGAAATTTCCGAAAGGATCATCTCCTGGCCAGAGAAAGGAAGCTCACCAACCAAAGGGAAACCTGGTCTCTGTTCAGTGAATGTGCCTTGTTCAGGGAGACAAGGCGAAGCAAGGAAACACCCAGTTGCAGGAACACTGGCAGAGACTTTATCATAGCAGATGCTATGGGTTTCGCTCTGGATACTGTTTTTCAACAGTTCTGGAGTAGATCCAATGGGCTTAGGAGGGTTCATCTTTGGAACTATCTCCTTGAACATCTGCTCCTCCAGTTCCTCCCCATAGTATGGGAGTCTGGTTCGGACCAAGCGTTTTAGTCCCTGGTTCTCATGACGCACTGGAATGTACGCCACTTGTTCCATGTGGGAACGCTTGTCATCTTCACGAACTGTTGGGTTCATCCGATGGCAGACGCTGTTCTGTTGCTTTACGGAAGTAGAACTAGAAAGACCTTCAACATCACTGGCACCATTAATCTCCGAAGAGACAGCAAGACAAGATATAGGCCCCAAGGCATCTCCAAGGGAGCCACTACGGCAGGAACCAGAAGAAAATACCTCCAACGAAGTACGGAAAGACTGCAAGCAACCTTCATCGTCTGACATATGGTCAATGTTAGTATCTATGTTGATATTACAGTACTCAATAGCTGTCTTACCTTTGTGGATTACTTTCATTCCGTATGAGAATAAGCCCATGTTAAAAACAGAGGGGACTGAGAGAGAGGATATAGCTGCGAAAAGCAGTGCGCAAAAGTAGGCTGAGGCAAGACATAAAGTCTGCAAGGCAAGTTGGATGGGATAGGAAATCATGAGAAATCGCGGGAAGAGAGGTATACGGAAAAAAATGAAAAAATTGAAAGGTTGATGCTTCTTTTATAGACAATTTGTCTATCTCATTCCTTGTTGATGGTACTGCTGTTTCTTTGTGACAGCTACTACATTACTCATTCAATCATAGAGCAAAGAATGTAGCTAGGAGTTTTTCTTTGTATTTCTTTCAATTTTCACTTCTTTCCGTAATGATATGTATGTAGTAAAGAGTAGTAATTTAATTTTAACAGCTAACATTAATTTAAGTCTAAAAAAAAATTGAATTAAATATCGTCTAAAAATGTGCGGATGCATTAAAGCAGTGGAATTTTTCTTTTAAAAAGTACTAGAAAATGAAAGAGAATGTTGAAGCAAATAAGTAAAAAAAAAAAATATATAGCCAAATAGTTAACCAATATCTAGAAATAGAGGTTTTTTTCTTTTATTACTTAAAGCTGATCTGTGCTCTGTTTATATAATGTAATCAAATATATAAACTCAAGGAAAACAAGTAGAAAACCAGTGATTTATATAGACAGCCAATTTGCAAAATGTTATAGCGAAAGAAAAATATTTTGTGCCTATCACTTAAAGTTAGTGATAGTATGATTAGATCGACCAATTTTTTAAGAGAGTAGATCCTTCATTTTTGAAGAGACCGTGTATTTCTTAGCAAAAATGTCGTTGGAATAAATTATAAATGATATTAAAACTAAAGAACAGAAAAATGGTCTACATAATTTGTATGACTATTAGTAGGAAAACGTTGGGGGTATTGGAAGATCTTGAAGATGGAGTGATACACGTTTGTATCAACTAGTGTACTCTGATCGGCCTGAGAAATGATAAATGTAAGATGAGCTATGTTCATAAAGATCTTCATTAGTTAAATATTGACCTGCTATCAGTAGTAAGTAAAGAGAAAAAGTACTTGATTCCACTAATATTATTTTTGGGCTTTTGTCTCAAACTCTACGCAAAATTTGCTGGTTATAGTATTATATACAAGCAGCTTTGTTATTGTTTTCTTACTGTCTTTAATACAAGATTAGCTTGATCTTATAATATGAACTTTTTTAATATAAAAAAACCAATGTGAGAATACTATATTAGAAATCATATTGCTTGATGATTTTACACAAACTTGACTACTTTGAATGTCTGAAAGTGTATCAGGTGTTTTCTTTAATGTCTATGCTCAGTACTGTTATATTGTTTGAGACAAAGCATTACGTTAAAAGTGACCCTTTATGTCATGGATATATATTAATTCAAAGAAAATCTGCTTTGAAACATTTTTTTCTTAAGTTTAAATAGTTCAAAAAGAAAACATAAAGTAAAAAAAAATTCTAGCCATATGAGACTATAAAGTACTGACCAGTAGTAAAGATGTGATGCCGAGTTTTGAAAATATATTTTAGGATCTAAAAAAAATCAGTTTTTATATATATATTAAGATAGATAAAATCTCTACCTTTTTGCAGTTATTTCTGTGCGTAAAGGTTTGTAGTTTTAAAGCAAGAATATTATATACATATATCAAATATTTATATATAGCAGTACTTTCGTACTTTTTACATATAAAACATATATATATATTTAAATATTTTTTATTAATTAATTATAGTTAAGTGTTTGAATCTTTTTTAACTAAAACTATATATAATCAAAGCTTAATATAATCATAATAGCGGGATATTCAAAATCATATAACTATTCATTTATTTTTTATTTATTTATGTAATCATTTTAATATAAAGGTTTCTGTAAAGCCATTTTGCTATACAAGAATACTCAGAAATTCAGCATAAAGTGATAGTTATATTGCACTAGAAAATTACAGATTTTAGCTGAGAAGCATATGTATTTCGATTTATGAAAGAAATAAGCTACTGGGAATAAATAAAGATAAAAATAAGAGTAGAATGATTCAATTAAACAACAAACAGAAAATATAGCTTCTTTTCAATATGTAATTAATGAATTGGGCAATATATACTTCTGTAGATATATAATTGTATATTACATACAAAAATAAGAATTTTACTTTGTTGTTGTTTCTTTGGGATGAAAGCTGAATAAGTGGTTTGTGTAAGTCTTGTACAATATACCAATATGGGTTGGGCTTATACAAACCTGACTATTGTGAGAGCTTGTAAAAAGGCTTAGGAAAACACATTTTCTATACCAAAAGCAAATAGCTTGAGCAATTATTCAGAAACAGTTATATTTCTCAGCCATATGTATTCACCAAGCCATTTCAAAAAAAGTATATATAATGTAAGAAAAAGATCCAAAATATCATTCAATTCATATTAATCAAAAACATCAATTCATTCTTAAACTTTACATCATGCGCTCTCCTATGGTTCAAATCTTCTCTACTCTATGTTTTCTTGGACTCTTGGTAAACTTGACACAGGCAGCTCCGTATGCCCCTGGTGATTGGCGTTTGAAGTTTCACATGTATCGTCCAGTAGAAAAACCAACCGCAAAATGCATGTGGTATACCGCTAAAAATTTGTGTGCCTAAGACCATCTTGCCTTGTTTTATATAAATTTACTCATTTTGAATAGTATATAAATATATATTAATCAGTGTAATATCGAAAATAAATAAAGTTAATACTTCTTTTTGTGACTTTGTAATATACATACTGAAACGTAGAACAGAATAGATTCTTTGAACTTTAATTAAAATAATAAGGATTTCTACTTTTTATATTTTATTCTCATACATGTATACAATATGAAATCTGTGTTGTATTTATTATAAGTGGTTTCATTGAGCTTAATATCTCTGTTTTGGCTACTAAAGACAAAATATAAAGGATTGAACTACCTCAATTCGTAGGCATGCCTATATAACTAACATTTTTTTTGTTAAACGTAAGACATATCGAATTTCTTTATAGGCTACAGAAGGTAGATATCTAAAAAATAGGGTTTAAGTTTTAATGCAGCAATACTTTACCCTATTCAAAGAATTAAAAGTAGTGTTTGATAAAATAATGCTAATTTTATATCTTATTCAATATATATATCCTTGGGAAATACTCGGTGAATTGGATGAATACAATCTCTATAATGCTTACATTAATAGGTATACAAATACTAGTCATATTTTTATTTTAAAGGGTTTATTATAGCATTATATAACAAATACAACAATTATAATAGGTAACGACAGTGAATTTTTTTTTTACCATTTTCTATTGATAATATTCTTTGGCTGATTTGCGAAGATTATCTTGTATGAGCGTAAAGCTTAGCACTTGAAAATTATTTTGAAAAGTAGTACTTACCAATAGACACTATATATCTTTAGCCATAAGTTTGCAGTTCTACTATATCATTCACATCTCATAGTATATGTTGAAGTAGATAACCAATTATTTCAGACAATTTAATTTTATTACTTTTATATAGACAAGCCTGATAAAGCTCAAAATAAATTATTATATGTAGAAATGGTTAATTTGATTGATACTTTCAATTTGAAAAAAAGAAAACGGCTTTAGATCAATGAGAGAATAGACATCTCTTATGTGTGTGCGTGTGTATTTAAAACAATATATGAATGCTGGTTATAAGTAAAGATCCAAGAAATTAGTTAAAATATAGCAAAGATGTATTTAATGAATACAGAGTACAAAATTAATTTCTATTATTATAAAATCAATATATAAAATACATTTTTATTGACATCAACTATGTAATTGAATTAGAAGTAAAGTAGTTTAGCTTGGATATCAAAGAACTTGATAATTTATTCACAAAAATACAATCAATAATTTGAAAATTTGATCTACTCTAAATATAAATATATTAGCTGGGATGGTCCAAATCCCAGTGTATGCTGTCGCAGGTCAGCACCATATTTTACTAGCTATTACATTTCTTCTTCGTGCCTTGTCCAGATCCAGAGGAGAGGGGGTCCAACGCCAGTCCATTCCATTGATTCTTTTTTGATTTTTGATTTTCTTGTTTTTTGATTTGATTTTTTAATTTTTTTTTTGATTTTTTTTTGATCTTTTTTTTGCTTTTTTTTATATTTTTTATGATTTGCTTTTCTTCATTTGATTTGATAAAATATTCTATTCTATTCTATTGTATAGTATAATCTGTTTTGATATTTTTTAATAGACATGATGTGTCTTGATATGTCTTGGTCTGACTTGACTAGACTTGATTTGATATGTCTTGTCTTCAATTGATTTGGGTTGATTTGTATTGACTTGATATGATTTGTATAATGTTCATGGTCATAGATACTGAGAGTGACTTTGTTAAAGGACGTCTTTAGATTTGATTTGAGAGAGAGTTTGAGAAAAGTAATCTTCAGATTTGGTGAAGAGAGACTTTGGAAAAAAACCACTTTCTGATATGAACCCAGAGAGGCTTTATTAGAAAACGCCTTGTTTTTTTAGCCGAGATGGATTTTGTAAAATGACATCTTCCGCTTTGATTAGAAAGATCTTGTAAAAGGACACCTGAAGATATGTGACAGGAGAGCCTTTGTAAAGAGTGCCATATAACTTGAGTGGAGAGTTACTTGGTAAAAGAACACCTTCCGATTTAAGCTGAGAAAGGTTTTGTGAAAGAGAACCTTCCGATTTGAGTTGAGAATTGGTAAAGACATCAACAGATTTGAGCCAAAAGAGACATTGCTAAAGGACACATTCACGTTTGAATGAAGAGAGAGAAAGGGACTTTGTGAAAGAGAACCTTCCGATTTGAGTTGAGAGAGAGAGTTTGTAAAAAAACGCCTTTAGATTTGAGCGGAGGGATGCTTGGTAAAGGGACACCTTCCGATTTGGATTGAGAGAATTTGTTAACGACCAACTTCTGATTTGAGCTAAGAGAGAGTTTGTGAACGGACACCTTCAGTCTTGAATGAAGAGAGACTTTGGAAAAAGCGCCTTCAGATTTTAGTAGAGAGAGTTTGTGAACAGACATCTTTAGTCTTAAGTTAAGAGAGACTTTGGAAAGAGCGCCTTTTGACTTGAGTGGAGAGATATTTTGGAAAGAACATATTCCGATTTAAGTCGAGAGAGACTTTTTAAAAGGACACCTTCAGTCTTGACCCAAGAGAAACTTTGTAAAGGACACATTGTGATTTGAGACAACAAAGATTTTGGAAAGCAGTACCCTCCAGTTTGAGTGGATACAGAGACGCTTCGTTAACGAATGCATTGTTTTTGTTTTTGTTTTTGACATTGTTTTTGCTTTGTGTTTTTGATATTATTATTTTTTCTTCTTTTTTCTTTTTTTTTTTTTTACAAAATATTGGAATGGATATTGGACTGGACAATGGACCCCCCCTTTCTGGACTTGAACAAGGCACTGGACCCTATACTATACAACTGCGAAATATATATATTATTAGTTCTAAGATATTTGATACTCTAATTAACAGCGTAATATTTTTGTGACGCCCAACTGAAATGGGTTCAGTTTTGCTTTGTGTTGTTTTTCAGAGAAAACACCAAGAGCAGGATTCCTTTGAATAGCTATATTGTTGCTATTGTGTTTCCGTAGTTCCTTCCGAAATATTTTCTTGCTTGCTGATGGAGGCCTGTAATAGATATACTGGTGCCACAGAATTGTCTGCAAAATCCATTCGGGGATCGCCAAAACCTTTTTTTTTATGTATGAAACTACGGCCTTTGACCAACGTATAAAATTCATATTTGAAGAAATTGTTGACCCAGTGGAGATGCTTGAAGTGCTTTTGGCCGACCCATGAAATGATAAGCTCCTGGGTTGTATAATTTGATGGTGCATTTTTGATAGCTTGATACAATTGACTTGATCACTTGAATACTTGAGGCGGGATATAGTGCTACACACAATATTCTCGCGGGAAAGATTTACTACTGGATTGAATTTCCATGATTTTTTATAGGAACGGGGGTATATAATTTTCTTAATGTGAGTCAGAGACCGGCCACCAAGTAGCTTGAACACCGTGCAAAATGCTTGATTTTCTTGGTTGCTTGTATTGGTGAGCATCAGTAGACTTTGCATATTTTTGTTACTGTCCTCTCATTCCACCTTTGATAATTTCTTTTTTTGTTCTTTTTTTTTTGTTCTTTTTTTTTTTTTGTTCTTTTTTTTTGTTCTTTTTTTTTGTTCTTTTTTTTTTCTAATTTTTTCCTTTACATATATATATATAAACATCCACTTTTTCTTTTTGCGTTTTAGAACCAGTCTGATATTGGCTTCCTGCTTGACTGATTCTGTCCTCATCAAACTTTGACTTGATAGTTTGCTAAAATTAGTCTCATGATATGACCTTTGATTGAATCTTGCTTTTCATTGGCAATCACTTGCGCACGTATTTGGACCCTATATGTGGGTTGTTTGTCCCTGCTATACAGACATTGCCGGTATTGCTTGCTTTAGCCTACTCTTCTTGACAGCTCTGAATACGACCCGGTTGACCCAATTAATCAAATCTTGGTTCTATATATCGGCCAAATTTGAGGACAACTCATGATAGACCGGCATGTAATCAAATAAAGGTTGTAGTTATTCACTCGAAGCTGTATATAAAACATTCGTATCTTATCGACTTGAATGTAGATAATTTACTTGCATTATATCTACTATATTTTTCAAGTATAATAGCTATTGCAAAAAACCCAAGCTTGCATTTCCTGACAAACAATTTGAGTAGAAGTCGTATAAAAAACGTGGTTTCTCAGGCTTGCCACTGGCATGTGTTGTACATTTGAGATAATTTTAGCATCAATAAACTTGACTTATTATTCGTTTTTATTATCAGTAATCTTCCTCAAAGTTCCACGAAAGATCTCATAAACCGACTATGGATGCATATTTAGAAGCTGCTTATTGTTGGATGTTGAATCCATTTAGAAAAAATTCAATTCTTACTAGATTTACGCCAAGATATGTATCAGCTATGCAAAGTCCATTAGACTGAAGCAAGGTCTCAAAATTTGAGACCAATATTCCAAACGACACTAAAGCCAATAGAAATCAACTTAAAAAGTTAATGGCTAACAAAAATAACACTCATGTTCAATAGTTTAACATTTTAGCATGTATTACCATGAATCTAACCGTGACTCAGACAAGACCAAAACAAAGAAAACCCAAAATCCATGATTACGGATATTAAAGAAATTCCAGAAGCAGCCGAATATCAACAGAAAAAGAAAGGCACGCATCGATATTAAAAAACACATATTCAACGATATACAAGTAGACAGCAGAAAGATAAGTAAAAACTTCAAGGTATTCGAAAATGGAAGGCTTAACAGCGACTGCCTCGCGACAAAAAACCAAATACGGATGCAAGAGAGAAAACAATAAAAAGCCAACAACAAGATACAAAGACAGGAAAAAGAAGGCTTCCAAGAATAAACACAATAGTGTACAACAACCAGACAGACAGATTGGATAGACGCATTTCATAGAGAATAATTGCATCTGTGCACAACAACCAGACACACAGATTGGAAAGACGGATTTCATAGACAATAAATGCATCTGTGCACAACAACCAGACACACAGATTGGAAAGACGGATTTCATAGAGAATAAATGCATCTGTGCACAACAACCAGACACACAGATTGGAAAGACGGATTTCATAGAGAATAAATGCATCTGTGCACAACAACCAGACACACAGATTGGATAGACGGATTTCATAGACAATAAATGCATCTGTGAACAACAACCAGACACACAGATTGGATAGACGGATTTCAAGAGAATAAATGCATCTGTGCACAACAACCAGACACACAGATTGGATAGACGGATTTCATAGAGATTAAATGCATCTGTGCACAACAGCCAGACACACAGATTGGATAGACGGATTTCATAGAGAATAAATGCATCTGTGAACAACAACCAGACACACAGATTGGATAGACGGATTTCATAGAGAATAAATGCATCTGTGAACAACAACCAGACACACAGATTGGATAGACGGATTTCATAGAGAATAAATGCATCTGTGAACAACAACCAGACACACAGATTGGATAGACGGATTTCATAGAGATTAAATGCATCTGTGCACAACAGCCAGACACACAGATTGGAAAGACGGATTTCAAGAGAATAATTGCATCTGTGCACAACAACCAGACACACAGATTGGATAGACGGATTTCAAGAGAATAATTGCATCTGTGCACAACAACCAGACACACAGATTGGATAGACGGATTTCATAGACAATAAATGCATCTGTGCACAACAACCAGACACACAGATTGGAAAGACGGATTTCATAGAGAATAATTGCATCTGTGCACAACAACCAGACACACAGATTGGATAGACGGATTTCATAGAGATTAAATGCATCTGTGAACAACAACCAGACACACAGATTGGATAGACGGATTTCATAGAGAATAAATGCATCTGTGCACAACAACCAGACACACAGATTGGATAGACGGATTTCAAGAGAATAAATGCATCTGTGCACAACAACCAGACACACAGATTGGAAAGACGGATTTCATAGAGAATAAATGCATCTGTGAACAACAACCAGACACACAGATTGGATAGACGGATTTCAAGAGAATAATTGCATCTGTGCACAACAACCAGACACACAGATTGGAAAGACGGATTTCATAGAGAATAAATGCATCTGTGCACAACAACCAGACACACAGATTGGATAGACGGATTTCATAGAGATTAATTGCATCTGTGCACAACAGCCAGACACACAGATTGGATAGACGGATTTCATAGAGATTAAATGCATCTGTGCACAACAACCAGACACACAGATTGGATAGACGGATTTCATAGAGAATAAATGCATCTGTGCACAACAACCAGACACACAGATTGGATAGACGGATTTCATAGAGAATAAATGCATCTGTGCACAACAACCAGACACACAGATTGGAAAGACGCATTTCATAGAGAATAAATGCATCTGTGCACAACAACCAGACACACAGATTGGAAAGACGCATTTCATAGAGAATAAATGCATCTGTGAACAACAACCAGACACACAGATTGGAAAGACGGATTTCAAGAGAATAATTGCATCTGTGCACAACAACCAGACACACAGATTGGATAGACGGATTTCAAGAGAATAAATGCATCTGTGAACAACAACCAGACACACAGATTGGATAGACGGATTTCATAGAGAATAAATGCATCTGTGCACAACAACCAGACACACAGATTGGAAAGACGGATTTCATAGAGAATAAATGCATCTGTGAACAACAACCAGACACACAGATTGGATAGACGGATTTCATAGACAATAAATGCATCTGTGAACAACAACCAGACACACAGATTGGATAGACGGATTTCATAGAGAATAAATGCATCTGTGCACAACAACCAGACACACAGATTGGAAAGACGGATTTCATAGAGAATAAATGCATCTGTGCACAACAACCAGACACACAGATTGGATAGACGGATTTCATAGAGAATAAATGCATCTGTGCACAACAACCAGACACACAGATTGGAAAGACGGATTTCATAGAGAATAAATGCATCTGTGAACAACAACCAGACACACAGATTGGATAGACGGATTTCATAGAGAATAAATGCATCTGTGAACA